TTTTGTTATTTTATAATATTTACAAAAATCCTGATGAGTTTGTGTTACAACAACCCCCAAACAAAAATGTATTAATGTAGAAAATGTTAGAATTGTAATTAAACTGTTTACGATCATAGTCAGGTTGTCACAATCCTCAAAGTTGGAACCCATTTGAAGGGAGGCGAGCGAGGCAGGAGTTTAAATAAAAATAATTTATTTAAACAACAAAACAAAAGGCTGTCGGTGCAGCAAAACTTACTCTGGCAAAACAGGATCAAAACAAGGCTGAACAGGACATCAGAGTACACAGGCAGAGCAGATCATCAGGTGGACAAAAACAGACAGGACAGAGGAGGACTGAGATGTCTGTGAATACAGAACAATGACCGGACAAGGAGTGGAGGAGAGAAAGGCTTTTTATAAGACAGAGGGAGAGTGAGTAATGAGAGCACCTGGGCAGGTGGCTGATGAGGGACAGGTGTGAATGATAAAGACTGAGGAGTGGAGAGGCAGACTGAGGAGTGAGTGGAAAACAGGACCAGATACACAGGAACAGAAACCACACAAAGAGCAGAACAACAAGAGCACAAAAAGCAGAGTGGGGAACACAAACACAAACAGAAACAGGAAATGGTACAATCCTTACACAGGTACAGTATTTCGATAACTATTATGGCTTTGAACTAAAAACGGTAAAATTATCTGGGAACAATTTAGTAATTTTAAGTTCATGTCTTTATTTGTCCAAGACTGCCTTTTTGAAGGTGTTGTGATGTGACTGAGCATCATTCAGAGGGACTGATGAATAAAATCCATCACTGCTCTGAACTTCTGTGAAGAAGCATCAACAGCAGACCTCAGAGTCCAGCAGCAGAGCTCTGAGCTGCTGAAGGAGATGTTCTGATTCTGAGACAATGAAAGCCTTTCTGAAGTCTTGAACTAATAAATTAGCATGTTGTTCCTGCTTTCTTCACAGCCAGGCTGCAGAAATCTGGGTTATGTGGGCAGCTCTGTTACGTAACCAGAACATCTTCACCTCAGCTGTCTGAGCTCACACACAGGCTGGTAGCAAAACGGGTAAAATCCTTAATGGAGTGGGACGCCGTTACTCTGGTTCACGTCTCAATGTGCCATATTACACAATCACCACTGGTCATTCATCTGCTGGAAGACCAGCTTCAACAAACTGAAACACTTGCTGGCTTTCTGTGGATCTGCTGCTTTTACCTGACTGAAGAGCTATGATTTGGGATGTCTATCTGATTCTTAACTTTTATTAAAAACATTTAAACTAACTGGGAAGTGAACTGGACTAAAAATTCAGTCAACTACTGTTAAATAGTCAACAGTTTTGTTAACTGGTTTGGACCCAGTAAACTAAATAGCAGTTGTGTAAAAGGGGCTGGAGGAATCAGAAACAAAAGGTTTAAGAAAAATGTTTCAACAAAACCAGCTGTTTAAAGGAGAAAAAGAAAGATCTGCAGAAATTATTTTTATGTTTTGCATATTAAAGATGACACAATATGACAATTAATGTTTATCAGGGGCAGAAAAAACATTAAAGTTATAGTTAAATCAGTAGTAAAAGAAGCAACAAAGCAGTTAAAAAAAAGGTTATATGTTAATTTTGTGCAAAGTATTTTACTTTTTTAACCATCAGTCACATTTACATTCCATATAGGCATCAAAAAGTGTTAAAGAAAACACAAAAAGAGTTTTTAAATATCCGTTTGAGTTTTTCTTTGGTTTAAATTAGACGATCAAACAACAAAAATGAAACTTTTCTGCTCTTTTAGTTTTTGAACAATGGTGTCTGATGACACCAGTAGAGTTCTGGAAATATCTTGGAGATATGGCAGTGAGGTTTTTAACTCAAATATTCAACGGCATATTTGAGGGTGAGAAAATGCCTGAGGAACGGAGGAGAAGTGTGCTGGTGGCCATTTTTAAGAACAAGGGTGATGTACAAAGTCGTAGCAACTACAGGGGAATTAAGTGATGAGTCACACAGTGAAGATCTGGGAGAGAGTTGTGGAAGCTAGACTTAGATGTGAGGTGACGATGAGCAGCAGTATGGTTTCATGCTGAGAAAGAGCACCACAGACACCATCTTTGCTTTGAGGATGCTGATGGAGAAGTACAAAGAAGGTCAGATAGAACTCCATTGTGTCTTTGTGGATTTAGAAAAAGCATATGACAGGGTGCCGAGGGAGGAGGTGTGTGGTATTGCATGAGGAAATCTGGAGCGGCAGAGAAGTATGTTAGACTGGTACAGGACATGTATGAGGACAGTGGTGAGATGTGCCGTAGGAGGGAGCGATAGCTTCAAGGCGGAGGTGGGAGTGCATCAAGGATTGGCTCTGAGCCCTTTCTTGTTTGCTCTGGTGGTGGACTGACTAACAGTTGAAGTCAGGCTGGAATCCCCGTGGACTATGATGTTTGCAGATGACATTGTGATCTGCGGTGAGAACAGGGAACAGGTGGAAGAGAACTTGTAGAGGTGGAGGTATGAACTTAAAAGAAGAGGGTTGAAAGTCAGTCATAGTAAGATGGAGTATGTGTGAATGAGAGGGAGGAGGTGGAACAGTGAGGCTACAAGGAGCAGAGGTCACAAAGGTGCAGCAGAACTTCAAGTACTTAGGGTTCACTGTCCAGGAAAATGGGGAATGTGGTAAAGAGGTGAAGAAGAGAGTCCAGGCAGGATGGAGTGGATGGAGAAAAGTTTCAGGAGTGATTGTGACAAAAAGGTGTCAGCAAAGATCGAAGGAAAAGTTTCCAAGACTGCAGCAAACAGCTATGTTGTATGGTCTGAAGACAGAGACATGGACAAAAAGACAAGAAAGCACAGGTACAGCACAGGTTGAACATCTGGGAGATAAAGTTAGAGAGACCAGACTGAGATGGTTTGGACTTGTCCAGAGGGACAGTGGGTATACTGGTAGAAGGATGTTAGAAATGCAGCTGCCAGGAAAAAGACAAAGAGGAGATATATGGATGCAGTTAGAGAGGACATGAAGGTAGCTGGAGTGAGGACAGAGATGGAGGAGAATGACTTGCTGTGGTGACCCCTGAAGAGGAAAAAGCTGAATGAAGAAGATTTTAGGTTCTGGTTCTGTTTTAGCTTCATCTAAAAACTTCTAACTTTATTTTTTATTTTGTAAAGTTCAGCTCTTGAGCCTTCAGTGGAATTTACTTCCCATTTAATTTTTTCTTTAAGTTTTGGTCTCAGGTTTTAGCCGTTTCTTGACGGATCCTTCATGTCTTGTTTCTCGTGTCAAGTTGTGTTTCTGCTTGTTTTCTCTTTGTCACACTGAACTTATTTGCGAGACATTAAATCTGCAGTGCTGTTCATTTTATTTTATTTATACTTTTTGATTTTTTTAAGCCTGCAGTTGAGACCACCTACAACTTTCTTTAAAACAAATCTCAGGTAATAAAAGGATTTTTCTTTTACTTTCAGCTGTTTAAATTACAATAAAGTAAGAAAACGTTGATTAAAAAGTCTCAGAGCTCGACTTGTTTCAGCAGAACCAAACATTAGGAGCAGAACCAAAGCTGTCGGGTCGGACATTGTTGTTGATTGGAGCAGCCAAAAAAAAAAAACAAAAAAAAACAGCACCACTGAAAACATGCCGCCTCAGAGGGAGTGGATGCTTCACACAGACTCTTTAATTACAAGACGCTGGTTTGGACTCCGAGGTCCAAAAACAGAACTGAGCAGGACTCTTTCAACGCACGGTAAACATGCCAGGCTCGTGCACAGACGCTGGAGATGTGAACGAGGAAGAAACACAAGAAAGTAATTAACACGGTCTGAATCGTATGATCATTGAAGAACCTCGTCCAAGCAGATCTAACTAATTAACTGATTCTTACTGCATTAAATGGCAAATCATATGATAAAAGATGTAAATATTCAACTTTATAATAATTTATCAGCAGAAAATTAAAATGATTAAAGGTTTTCACTTGTCCCATGTCTAATTCTGAAATTTTTTACACAGATTTCCAGAACACTTCCAGAAAAAAATCTAAAAAATAAATAAATACTTGGCACAAAACCACAATCCTTCATTCCAATATTTTAAAAATAAAAGAGCAGCTTCAACCAGAATTGTGTAAATGTCATGAGATGACAAAGTGTAGAGAAGGAACCTAAAAAGGGGAATGGAGGGTAAGCGGGCATTCATATTTTAATTTAAAATGATTTAAGTGTTTAAAATGAAACAGCCTTTCTTGTAAGTCAAGCTGAAACATATCCAAGCTCATATGAGCAAATTTAGAAATTAAAATTTTAATCATATTATTATTAATGCAATAATCAGGAAAGTCTGGAAACATTGTTTATTTTCTTTTTTCATGCTTGTCAAAACTTTAAAAAAAATAATTTATACTCCATATTTCAAACCAGAGGAGGAATACTGATTTTAGTGACTATCGGGCTTTCCCTGCTTTTCTATTAGACACCTGAGGCAAAGACTCTGTGTTCTGAAAGGCAGGGGGAAACTCCTTGTTCATCGCAAAAGGTCAAAGGTAAAAAAAAAAAGAGCTAAAATGTCCTTTTAGGTTGGCATTTTTCTACAAAAGTTGTTACTGCAGCCAACACAGAGGCTTTAGCTCCCATATCACCAACTTTATAATCAGCTAACCAGCTCATGATCACGGGTCAGAACCACAACGTTACACCCCCCAAAAACAAGCTGTAATTTACTTCCTGCATCCATCAAGCACAGCTCTTAAGCTCCGCCCCTCAAAGGTTTTTAAACCTCGATGTTCAATAAATAATCGTGTCAGGCTGCATAGACAATAACAAGCAGAATCTGAAGCTGCAGAACCACAGGAACCAACAGAACACCATCACTGCTATAAAAGAACCGGTGCTCGGAGACTCAGATAATGACACAGCAGCTACAGCCGGAGTTTATTCCCAGAAAGATGCCAGTGATGGGACATGTAGAAAACAACGACAAGTAAATGACAGTCATGAAAACATGAGAACCTGAGGGTTTTTTACTCACGCGTTGCAGTAGGGTTTCTTATCGTAGCCTTTGTAGTTCTTCATGTTCAGGGTCATCTTGCAGACCTCGCAGTGGAAACATCCTTTGTGCCAGTTCTGATAAGAAAACCCACAAAGATGAATGTTTACTGTGCAAAATTCCTGGTTCCGTCTTCAAACAAACAGACTTTCTTAAAAATGTAGCTCAAGAGATAATATTTATATATTGGTAGCGTTGGAGCTGACACCGTTATCTTCTGAGCTAATATGTATAGCATTAGCTCCAGAGCTAAT